ACACACAGACAGCCTCTCGTCAGTATGCGTTTTTCGCATTGCATTGCTGCAAAAAACGCATAAAAATCGATATTGCTGGGGTTGGACTTAATGCTACCATTCGGGTTAATTACGATTGTCTCCCTCCCTCCCTCCACTCGCATGGAGAATGATTTGGAGAAGAGTGGGAGATGGGGAGGAGGGGTTCTTCTGATGAATTTTGCAGTGACTTTTATAAACTTGTGGAAATTTGTGGTAGCTTTCTGCTAATTTAAAGTGATTTTTCAGAAATGAATTATCGAGATCCAAATGAAACTTCATATATGTGGTCATGGATCAAGGGCAATCGCAAGTGGCATGCATGGAATAAATGCAAAGGTTGGGCAACCAAAACTTTGACAGTCTCACAGGGATTTTGACAATTTCACAGTCCGAGATTTCTTCCGAGATTTTGAAATGGTTTAATTTGATATTACTTTTTTTTTAGGTTTATCAAAATACGATGCAATGTTTATGTATATCGATAGTGTTAATAAGCTTGACAAAGAGCTGCATGATTTGGTGGAAGAGTGGAAGGACGAGTTCGATCCACGAGTGCCGAACAAAGATGCTTGGGTACCGGAAGAGGAAGCTGAAGAATTCAACAGATTCATGGAACAAGCGAAACTTGAAAGAAGGTTTGCGCTTCCTCGCTAAAAGAATTCTGAACGTTGACAATCCCCTTACTATACGAACGATAATCTTATCGATTGGGTAAGACGAATTTTGATTTTCCCTGCACTTCTTGCTATTTAGTTAAAATAAAGCCAGTACAAAATTACAGGGAACGGGATGCACTGAAGCGACAGAAGGAGATCGAAGAAGGAATGTGGGACGACGATGATTGATCGCATATTGCTTTAATTGTTAGAAAGTTGAGTAGTATTTGAGGCTGTTGTTGTAACTTGATTAGAATTCCTCAACAAGCGCTTTTTACGGCTTTTTTTTAGAATCTCACTTCACGGCATCATTAAAAAAAAAATCTGCTGTGCTGCTTCTAAGGCAGTAATTTTTAGCCTAAATTGAAAGGAATACATAGGCCAGCTGTTATTCGTATTCTGGTTTTTCAGCTACAGAGCTAACAGTCTTTTCAGTTGTTTTAAGCAGTGTTGCACCAGTTGGTGCTCAGCCTACCAGCGATTGTGTTTTTGTTTTCACTTCCTCAAGTTTGGGTTATTAAACCTTGTAACTGTCTTATAAAATTGGTTTTTTTTTGGTAAAACAATTTGAACAAATGTTCATTGGTGGATAAATCCTATTTCTCACTGTGTAAATTTGTGTTGCAAACTTGCAAAATTCAGTAAAAATACTTTTGAGTAAATTTGTTTTATGATAATTTAGAAATACATGGGGTTTTGAGTTTCGGGGGTAGTCCACAAATTGCAGTTTGGCATGGTCTCCAGTAACATGGAAAATCAATCCCCCCTCCCCTCACTCTTTCTCTTGGACACATATCGCATTCGTACTGACGAGGTCCAGTTGTGGTGCTGAATAGGAATGTATACGACGACTTAATGAATCGAAACATTCTAATTTATTTTCAATTAATTAAAAATACATAATTGATTATCTAATTAAAAAAATTAAACAAATAATAATTAAAATTTAACATAATTAATAATTAAATGATCAAATAATATATAATAATAATAATTTTTCATTATCACTGATATTTTTATTGCCTTTGCGTCCCATGCTTGGCCAGCAGTGTAACAAAAGCGAATAGTTTAATATCAACCTTTATTTATTGGAATTCAGGCATTAATTTCAAATTAAAGTTGAAACTCAATTGTTGAGCAATCTGCATCCCAGATACTGTCATCACTCAATACGCCATGTTGCGGTGAGCGTCCACCACCATACCGAAAACTTCGATGGTCCGAATATGTGAATTCTTGCTCATGAAATGAACGGTCATCTGCAATACATATCTAAGGCTTTAGAACAGGATGAGGAATATCTCTGGTTTGGTGCCGTAAGGTCATTGGGATGGCATCCGCTGGGCTTTTTTTGGATCGGCGACCGCCCAGAACATTTAAGTATTGTAGAAATTTTGGAGATAAAAACAGTGAATATCCCTGGCTAGGAGATTGGGAGAGAATGGTTCTGGTCGAGAGGGAAATATTCCTGATTTGATAATATGAGACTTTAGCTAGCGTTTTTAAGTGTTGGTTTAGTATCGGATTGGCCCCGAATGGTACTTTTTTTCCCCGACTAATAGTGTTTAAGGCCCTGGATTTGAGCCTTTTGAATTCCTGTAAATTTTGAGCCAAAATTTGCTGCAAGCATTCGGGGCGACGCGGAGAAAAACAAGCCTTTTTCCATCCGATTTGTTTCACTTTGCCATCGATTCACCGGGGGGTTTTTCTTTCAAAATTTCATCTCACTCCTCGATTTCGCTAGCTAGTAAATTTCGAGTTAAAAAAAAAAGTTGTACCTTTGTTTTCTTTAAGATATACACGAAGCGTGAAACAGTTGACAATGATGATGAAAAAGACCACCACACTGATTCCGATCACCAGGCCAATCACGGCACTGTCTACAGTTGTTTCACTCTGTGGTTCGGCTGTTGTTGTGCTCGACACCCTGAACAGTGTGCAGTAAAAAGCAAGGAAGCAAAAAAAACCTGTGTTCTGACCTCATTTTGGCACTGAGCCATTTTCCTCTTTACATTTGGCGATATGAACAAATTACATTGGTTCAGCATATTCAGGTAAAATTTTGCTTTTTTTTTTCCTAAGAATAAGATTTTTTTTAAGAATAAGGGTTTTTTTTAATTAGATCTTAAGAATAAGGTTTTTTTTTTTTTTTTTT